TTTATTAGTGTGTGTGTGTGTGTGTGTGTGGTGGTGTGTGTGTGTGTGTGTGTGTGTGTGTGTGTGTGTGTGTGTGTGTGTGTGTGTGTGTAGCGATGGTAGTATAGATTAGGTGTGTGTAATTATATATATATATTATATGCACATGCGTATATGGTGCGTAAGATCAAGCGACAGACCGGCACTGCCCAAAAGAATGTTGTCATAGTATTGTATATCGAGATCAAATTTGCTCGCATTATCAATCCTCAATGTCGTCTGCGACTTGTTTAGCTTATATGTGCCACTTACAAGTAATTCATGATTGTCGTAGCTTATTGGCGGAGTATGTTCGGGAGTGTTGTCAGGATTCAATTATCTCGAGCTTTTATCATCTGCGATAACCAGCTTTTTAAACCGGAGGCGTGATATGATTTGATTGTCATCGACTCGTTCCAGGACGCGAATGAGCAAGTCTTGGACTACAGTAGAAACATGCATGTGCGTGTTTTTTCTTTGATTTCTCCTTTTCTCTTTTTTTTTCTCATACTCATTTTCTGTCTTTTGCTTCGAATTTTTATTTCTGAGCACATAATATACATAAGTAATCCTTGCAGACAAAATATGAGAAGAATTGTTACACATTCCAATATTCTTCTAATATCATATTCAAGATTGTACATGGATTTACAGAGTTATTATATATTGAATGAATTAAAAAAAATGATAATACTATTCAGCTATTGATAAATTTCTAACAAATATCAGGTGAGAGATTATCTTTTTTCAACTAGTTTGAGAAAGAAAAAAAGTTAATTTTATAAATTCTTTGTGTGTGTGTGTGTATATGTGTGTGTATGTGAGAGTGTATGTGTGTATATGTGTGTATATATATGTATATGTGATATATCATTTTGTTCCTATAGCCATTAGGTTCTGTTACAATGGATATTGGCATTGTCAAAATTGCAGAAGATAAAGACTTTGAGAAATTAAAACAATTATATGATGATAATAACAACTGGAAGTTAGATTACAATAAGCCTGATTTATCTGTTTGGACAAAATCCGTCCCAGGAATTAGTTTTAGAATGGTGAAAGTAAGTTCTCCTTTTATTAACAAATGAATTTTATCTCTTTTTAAGACAGGATGATTTAATGTTACAGATTAGAACATGTTTCCCAGATGTTTCACCTGAAACATTATATGATGTTTTACATGATCCTGAATATAGAAAAGTTTGGGACACTCATATGATTGAATCGAAAGATATAGGATTTTTTAATCCAAATAATGATATTGGTTATTATTCTAGTAAGTCTGGTCTTATCTATCAATTTTTGATTTTTATATCAAGAATCTCATTTTATTATGATTGTACAAATTTTAGTGGCATGTCCATCTCCACTAAAAAATAGAGACTTTGTCTTGCAACGATCTTGGCTGGATATTGGTATAGAACAATTAATATTAAATCATTCCGTCTATCACAAGGATTATCCACCTAAAAAACATTTTGTACGAGCAACATCTTACCTCACAGGTAAAATATTAGGAGACAAATTGAAACGCGTTGTATATCATGATTTTTCATTTCAAAAAGTAATACATATACATACACATATATATATATATATATATCTAAGGTTACATCGTAAGGCCTTCACGCAATGGAGATGGTTCCGAGTTGGGTTATGTATCGCACACAGATCCACATGGCAAGTTACCTGTATGGCTTGTCAATAAAGTTACACAGATATTTGCTCCCAAAGTGAGATATCTTATAAAAAATATTAGAAGAAATAAGTATTGTAAATAAAAATAAATGCAATATTTGTTTATAAAGCTGATATTTTGTAGATGGTAAAAAGACTGCACAAAGCTTCTGTAGGCTATCCGAGTTGGAAATTACTTAACAATCCAAATTACAAGCCTTGGCATTATCCTGAACAAATAATGGCACCTAGAATACGTATTGAAGAAGTAAGAAAAAAGCATCTTATCTTTGTATTCTGTAAATGTTTTCATCTTGTACCTCAGTTTGCGAACTTCTATATTTTTACATAAGTTTTTACATAAGTTATAAATTTTTTCAGTAGCAGTTTAATTTTTTTTTAAGAAATTGCAATCTCATTTCTTTTTAGTATTATTCAATATGTATGTATATTTATGACAATATTCTATTCAATAATAGACAATAAAAAGATATCTGTAGAAAAATAGACTTTATTTCTTTCTCATATGTATTATAGTTAGCAAATATATATTTTTTAAAGTCGTTTTTCTATAATATACACAAATTTGAATTTTACAACTGCATGCTATTAACTCATTTCAGTGTGTAAAATCTGCAGAAGAGAAGAATTCAAAATATAATTATGTAGACGAATCTGATTTGAAGGAAAATTTGGTTAAGGAATCGGCCACAATGGACAGTGATTGATTCGATATAATAGAGAAGCATGAGCATTTTTAAATAAGGTAATATATAATGGGCTAGAATAATGATAACAAGGAATAATGAAGAATTATAGTTATGCAGTATTATACCTATACAGTATAACAATTGGCAATTTGTACATTTATCAAGTTCGATTTGAATATTTCTTATATAATAAATTCTAATTACACATAATGTAACATTTAATATATGTAAAATCAAGATCATACATTTGGAAAATTATATGCAAAATCATCTTATGTGCGGACATAAACGTCAATAAGTTTCGATGACCAGTTTTCTATTAGGTATTAATTTCAAGCCAGATTCATTGGCATATTTGTTAAGACTCGCAAATAAATAAAATATAAATATAAAAAAAAAAATACCGCATATATACACACAATATGGAAAGTATATTCGAAACTCTTTTTATAATTTATATCACGGTACACACACGCGCACACGTCTTGAAATAACTTAATCTATCTTCTATATTGTGCACCTTGTACATTATTGTTATTTATTGTAAAAAATATTAATATATGCAAAATAATTGCAATTTTGTAGTATCGAAGAATGTAACGATTAGTTGGTAAGAAGTTTTTATTATTTTGAGGAAAATTGGAAAATTTCACTAGCATTTCCGTTCTAAAGCGCGATATAAAAAAGGATGAAGTCTAAGAAAGAAACGTTTTCATTATATAAAAGGGAGATTTTTTTCATATATGAATATTTCAATTTGTAATTTTTTACAACAATGAATAAGCAATTTAACAGAATTGTGCAAATCGATGGAGGAGAGAGAGAGAGAGAGAGAGAGAGAGAGAGAGAGAGAGA